AAATTAGCTGGGCGTGGTGGCACATGCCTGTAGTCCTAGCTACTCGGGAGGCTGAGGCCGAAGGATCGCTTGAGACCAGGAGTTTGAGGTTGCTGTGAGCTAGGCTGACACCACGGCACTCTGGCCCGGGCAACAGAGCAAGTATATGTATAAAATTAGCTGGGCGTGGTGGCACATGCCTGTAGTCCTAGCTACTCGGGAGGCTGAGGCCGAAGGATCGCTTGAGACCAGGAGTTTGGGGTTGCTGTGAGCTAGGCTGACACCACGGCACTCTGGCCCGGGCAAGAGAGCAAGACTCTGTCTCAAAAAAAAAAAACAGAAAAGACAGGGCCACCACATCCTGGCCGGTTGGCTGAGGCTGGACAGTTGTCTTCCACCTGCAGACATTCACCTGGTGGCTCTGGGACAGATCTGAACGTTTGGAGTCAGGGAAGTAGAGGAGGAAGGCACCCAGGGGCTGGTAGCCCAAAGAAGTGCCAGGCCTACCAAGGGAATAGCATCCCTGTGGGACCCAAGCAAGGAGACTGAGGGGCCCCTGGGCTACCTGGACACTCACTGTCTTTGGTCAGGATGCCTGGCAGCCTTGTATCCATCCGTCCCTTGTAAATATGTCCGTCCAGGCCCAAGATATCCACCTCGTCATGCTGCAGAGGTGGACACGCACCCATTACCACTGGAGCACACACAGCCTCCCCTCTGGCCCTGCCTCCACGAAGGCTGGGTGCAGAGCGCTGCTGTCTCCTGACTTCTGGCACCAAACAGTGCTCAGAACCCTCCTGGGGGACTCTGGGCAGCACCAGGGCAGAGAGACAAAGTGAAGGGAGGTGGAAATGGCATCATTCTGAGGGCCAGTGGTAGTGCTGGGTTGGGAGGTAGCCAGGATGGATTCTTCCCCACAAAGGATAAGAACCTGTGGCTTTAACTGGGTCTGAATTAGAAACTGCCTCAAGGCAGAGGGCTGGATGAGGTGACTTCTGGTGGTGTCCCTGGAATGACTTGGGAATCTGGAGCCATGTCAGGGCCTTCCTCCCTGGTGGCGCCCAGCAGGGCCCTACCTTCATGGCAATCTGGATCTCCTCAGCAGGACACAGGCCCTGGGACAGGTGCTGCAGGCGGCTGCGGCGGTACGGGTAGGTGAGGGTGTGGCTGCCCCCACAGCGCCGGGGCACGGTCGAGTAGGTGTAGTCATCCGGCACCCTGTGATAAGGACACTGTCCTGTGATGGGACGTGACCTGGGACCCACCCATGGTGGGGCCAGCCTGAGGGAAGTCGGGCAGCTGTCTGCAGGGTTTGCAGGAGTCAGGGCAGACTGGGACACGGGGGTGGGTGGGCCAAGCAACCTCAAGACTGGACCACCCTGAAGACCACACATATTCACACACTGTCAATCACACGCTCGTACGTACACACACACACTCATGCGCGCATGCATACACTCGTGCACACACACACGCTCACACATATACTCACACCACACACTCACATGCTCACACACTCTCAAATACACTCACTCATACACATACACGCTCACACACACACTCATGCTCACACTCATACACATGCTCAGATTGACACACATGTACACATGCACATATACACACACAGACAACACATATACACATATGCTCACACATACACTGACACATACACAGCACATACGCACACTCGCACACCCCGACACAACACACACACACGCTCGCGTGCACATACATAACACACTCATGCTCACATGTACACACTGACACGTACACTCGCACACACACAACACACATGCACACTCTCACACGTGCTTCCTTGTCTCCCTGGGGCTTTTGCCAGCAGCGAGGTGAGGCGCGTGTCCCCGTGGCCATGGGTGGGCAGAAGCCACGCCCAGTCAGCACAGTCCGTGCCCCTCGGACCCTGGCCCGCCTGCGCCCTTACCGTTTGTAGCAGGGGGAGCTGAGGCACTGGGCCTGCAGCAGCTCACGGATCATCTGGCTGCTGGCCTTGACGGAGCCCCCGAAGTGGATCTGCACCTTCTCGATGTCCATCAGCATCTTGGAGTGCATGGAGCGCAGGCGCCCCACGCTCCGCTCCATCTGCGCCAGGTCGCCCCGAGGGAAGGCACTGCCCAGCCTGAGGCTACAGAGCAGGACGGAGGCAGGGTGGGTCCAGGATCAGACAGGACCCGAGCCCAGATCCACTCTGTGCCTCGCCCTTGTGCGAGCCACTTCCTTCGGCCTCAGGCCCCTTTTTGTGAAGGGTCCTGTGTGGGCCAAGCCAGCCCTGAGCCCCATGAAGTGCCAGAGGTTTTCCTCCAGTGGAAAAGTACAGACGAGCCAAGTGGGCAAAGCCTCTGACCACAGGGGTGGAGGAGCCGACTTAGCCGCTGGCCTCTCCCATCCAGTCCCCGGCATCTGGCCCTGCATGCCTGGAACCCCTAGGGCTCCAAGAGCAGTTTGAAGGTTTGAAGTCCTCTTTCCCATGAACCCCATCCCTAGGGGGTGAGGAGGGCCTGAGCAACCCTGAGGCTGAACAACGCCGGCCCCGCCCCTCCATCCCCTCCCCCACCCCCAGGTTGCTGAGTCAGCTGAAGGATGGGCAGGTGGTGGGAAGCAGAGGAGCTCTCAGCTGCTACCCTTGTTAACGTCCCACCATAACTCACGACAGGTCTTCCTCCAACGCGCATGCCTGGGGAAGAGCTGGGAGCTAGTTCAGAAATCAGTTTAGTGGCTCCCGCTGTCCCAACCCTGAGGAGGAGGCCCTCCACACTGTCCCCCAGAGCTGCCCTCTGTTGCACTCAGCTGTCTGTGCCCCGGCTTCCCGTTCCAAGGCCCTGCCCCGGGGACCCCGCTGCCCGTACTTGCGGCTCTGCTGCCGGACCTGCTCCAGCTCAAACACCGTGTAGGGGCGCATGGATCGGTGCCCCGGCAGGCCCGGACCCACAGGTGTCAGGGGCATGATTCTGGAAAGGGGTGGGTCAGAGTGTGAGAAATCCCATCACCCAAGTCCACCTACCACCTACTCCCCACCTTCCACCCGCCTCCAGAACCTTCTGGACCACCCAGGCTGGGCCCCGGTGCAGGACTGAGAAGGAAAGGAAGGGTGGCGGGGAGCAGGGGAGGAACAGCCCTGCCGGGTGGGCCGGGCATGGGCACTCACTGTCCGGTGAGAGGTGTCTCCAAGGGGCGGTCGCATGAGAGGCAGTGGAAATGTGCCAGGAGCTGCCTGTTAGGAGGGGTGCAGGTGGAGGGTGAGCACTCTGCGCAGAGGGTCCCCAGAAGGGCTTGGCCCTCTGCAGGGCAGGCAGGCTGGGCGCTCAGCCCTCCAGGGTGGCAGATCCCGGCCCTGCTCCCAGAACCCACCTGCTCCCAGGCTCACGTCCCACATCTGCCTGTCCTCATCCAAGGCCAGCAGGTTCCCGAGGCCCCCCGGAGGGTGCCCTGTGTGAGCCTTGGGGGCCCTCTGGCGGCCAAGAATGGGAATCCTGGGATTCAAGCCCGCCACGGGCCAGACCCCCAAGAGCTGTCTCAGTTCAGGGGACTGAGGACCGGTCCCCGACCCAAAGGCATAGCACACCCAAGGCCAGAGAGCCTCATGCCACTTGCACTCCCTTTCTCCTCCTGTGCAATGAAGGGGCCTGAGCTGGAAGAGTCGAGCTCCGAAATCCTGTCCCTGCACCACGGGATGGTCCTGGGCAGGCTCAGCTGTGTGCAGTGGGAGCCGCTTGCTTGGGACTGCAGCCTGACGCCTTCCCGCACCAGCACAGTGTGCCAGTCTCCCGGTCTGCCAGGCCTCACCTCCGCATGGCGGCTGCCTCGTCGGCCTGGTACAGCGGAGAGCGCTCTTTGAGCTGCTGTCGCAGCGACTTCCACCGGTCCTCAAGCATCTGCTTCAGTGGGTCCAGCTCCAGGCGGTCCAGCTGCGGGGTCCGGGGTGACAGGTGAGCTCTAAGGCAGCAGGTGGGGGTCTGGCCGCAGAGAGGGTGGTGGTGTCCTGGGCCAGGGGCAGGACTGTGGCGATGGAGAGCCCCCAGCCCGCGCCTGCCCCACACCTTGCTGTCCATCTCCACGAGGAGCTTGTCTAGCATCTTCTGCCAGTCCTGCTCCTGCCCACTCATCTTGGCCACCAGCTCCTGCAGCATGTGGTTCAGCTGCTCCGTGGTGGCATCAAACTGGACGCGGCTCACTTTGGCGGCCAGGGCACTCTTGTCAGCTTTCTGCCCGGAGAGAGAGGAGGCAGCCCCCCACCTGGGAGAGAGCCATGGAGGGGCTCCATTCCCCCGGGGGTTTCCAAGAGCCCACGATCCTCCTGCCCCCTCCACTCCTGGCCTCTCAAAGAATGGCCAGGGAGACCTCCCTGGGACAGAGTGGCTCCAGGGCCTGGCACTTACCATGTCGATCTCCATCTCCAGGTGCTCCCTGTTGGCCTTTTCCTTTTTGAGCTTCTCCAGACCCTGGTACAGCACCTGGGGGCCAAGCAGGTGGAGATGAAAAGCCAGGAGCTGAAGGACAGGCAGCAGAGTCTAGCCCCCACCCGCTCCTGCTGCCCCACCGGCTGCTCACGTCAATGTCCTTCTGCTTCTGCCGATGGTCCTCGATGAGGTTGCTGGTCGTGATGTTGAGCTTCTCGCAGTCGCCCTGCACATGCAGGATGGCGCTCTGCACGTGGCCCAGCAGCTCCTCGTCCTGCAGCAGGAGGGACAGGAAGGATCTCTGAGGCTGCTGGGGTGACCCCTGCCCCCACCACAGTATTGCCACCCCCTGATAAGGTGGCCTTAAATCATTGCCCAGCAGACAAGCTAACTTCAGACCCCATCCTGGCTTTCCTTGGTTGCCTCCATAATTTCCCAGTAACGGTGGAGAAGGCTCTCTGCCCTTTCTGTGTGTCCACTCCAGCGGGACAGGAGCACCAGTCACCCACATCCCCGTGGACTAGCCTCAGAGGATCCTGGCCTGCTGGTGCAGGCGGTCAGTGGAGTGATAGAGGCTCAGAAGTGACGCTGCCCCATGGCCCCTGAGAGCTGGGGCGTGGGCTTTAGTCTCCTCACCTCCCCTGGGCCAAATCTGAATTCTTCAGTCCAAGAGGCAGGACTCACGGACTTGTGGCTGTCTCCACCCCTGCAGTAAGCCTGCCCTTTGGAGGGAATGGGAAGGGGTTGGGGAGATTGATATGCAAGCTGTCTCCTACAGCTGTGCCTGTGTCCCCATGGCACGTGAATGGCACTGCTCCACCCTTGGCCAGCCTGTGCTATCCCACCCCATAGTCTCCTGTCCCCAGAACTAGCTCTGCTGCCACCCTTGCTGTGACCCTGGGGAAGGAGCAGGGACTTTCATGGATCTAACTAAAGGGCTCCATCATGGAAAATTAACCCTCAGGCCCAAACACCCCCTCCTGGGGAGCTATGTCGGCCACTCCGTCTGCAGGCCTCCAGGGCTGTAGCTCTTCCCAGCGGGGCCATGTCCAGCTGCACCAGGAGGGAGGTGGGCAGAGGCTCACCTGGCTCTGGAGCTTGGCTTTCTTGGAGGGCCGGGAGGCAGCCAGGTTGTTAACCATGTCCTGGAGGTGCTCATAGCGCTGCACCAGCATGCTGACCTGGTGGCTCACATCCAGGCTGCAAGCTGGACAGGTGGCTTCAGGGTCGATCTGGCCAGGAGCTAGGGTCGTCAGGGCCTTGTGCGGGGCCATGCTCATGGACAGCAGCGTGGAGGAGGAGGCCATCATATTCTCGATGATCGTCCTGAGCTTGTCCAACTGGGTGCAGGAGAGACATTGGGGGCAGGGCAGTGAGGCAAGTCACAGCCACATTCTGGCCACGCTAGCACTACTAGTGTGGTATTTTCTGCCTCTCCCCTGCTGTGATCTGGGGCAGACACCGCATCCTGCGCCTCACAGGGCATGTGGCCCATAGCAGGCGCTCTGTCTGTTACGTAGTAAGTGGGGTTTTCCGGGAGTGCAACATTCATGCCAAACAAAGCCCTTGCAGGAGGGAGGTCTCTGGACCTTTCTCTAGCCAGCCCCTTGGTCCAGTGTGAGAACCTGTCTCGTCTAGCCAAATCCTAAAGTGCTGCTGCTTGTTAGTCAACCCATAGACACTCAGAGAGGACCCTGATGACACACAGGCCTTGCTCTGGGCATGGAGGCTGGGAAGGGTGGGCTTGCACCTGCTCCATCCCATCTAGCATGTAAATAACTAATGATAGAAGAATGTGACAAGTGCTAACACTACCACAGGTATCTCTCATGGTCTGGGTGGTGCAAATCCCTTCCAGGGAGAGCATCAAGACCCTGGGGTTGCTAAGCTCAGACGCGAGCTTGGACTGGCAGGTGACCTTTGCACAGTCTCCACTGCTTCTCAAGCAGGACAGTTGGCTTGGAGTCATGAAGCGGTGCACACCACTGTCCCAGCAACTCGGGAGAAGCCCAGAAAGTAGCTTAAAGCACAAAGGGGTTCCTAACATGAATGCCCTTGGCCATGCCTATAGTGGCTTTTCGTAACTGCTCCATCTGTGAGCAGTTAGGAGCAGACACCCCTTACTGGGAAATGACCAAGGATAGCATCATTCAAGACGTAAAGGCAAACACTAGTAAGAAAAAAATGACAACCCGTAGAGTAGGGGAAAATATTTGCAAGTCATATGTCAGATAAGAGTCTAGTGTCCGAAATATATAAAGAACTCTTTACAGCTCAAGAATAAAGAGAAATCAATTTAAAAAATGGACAAAGGATTTGATTAGTTGTCTATCTTTAAAGAAGTTATACAAATGGCTAAAAAGCACATGAAAAGATGCTCAGCATCATTAGTCATTAGGGAAATGCAAATCAAAACCACAATAAGATACTTCACACCCACTAGGGTGGCTATAATTTTTTTTTGTTTTTTAAGGAAGTTGGCCAGGAGTGGTGGCCACCCCTATAATCCTAGCACTTTGGGAGGCCAAAGTGGGGGGACCACTTGAGTCCAGTAGTTCAAGACCAGCCTGAGCAAGAGCGAGACCCCATCTCTACAATAATAGAAAACTTAGCCGGGTGTGGTGGCTCATGCCTGTAGTCCCAGGTACCTGGGAAGCCGAGGCAGGAGGATTGCTTGAGCCCAGCAACTTAAGGTTGCAGTGAGCTGTGATGATGCCCCATTGTATTCTACCCTGGGAGACAGAGCAAAACCCTGTCTCCAAAAAAATTAAAAATTAAAATAAAAAGGAAATTAACAAGTGTTGGTGTTGGTTGTTGGTGGGGATGTGGAGGAACTGAAACCCTCATACGCTGCCAGTGGCAATGAAAAATGGTGCAGCCACTTGGGAAAGCAGTCTGGCAGTCCCTCAAATGGTTAAACGGTTCTCTGACCCAGCAATTCCACCCAAGAGAAATGAAAACATGCGCGCATAAGAGCTTGTACATGAATGTTCATAGCAGCATTATTCATAATAGTCAAAGGGTAGAAACAACCCAAGTATCCTTCAACTGATGAATGAATAAACAAATGGTGGTACAGCCACAACATGGAATGTTGTTCAGCCATAAAATGAAGTATTGACACATGCTACAACATGGATGAATCTTGAAAACATCATGCTAAGTGAAAGAAGCCAGATGCATGAGGCATGCTGTATGATTCCATTCACATGAAATATCCAGAAGAGGCAAATCCATAGACAGAGAGCAGGTGAGTGGTTGCCAGGGGATGGGGGATGGGGAGAGACTGCTAAGGGGTACAGGATTTCTTTTCGGGGTGATGAAACGCTTTGGAATTAGATCGTGGTGATGGTTGCACAACTTCGTGAATATACTTAAAACTACCTTGTTTATTTTAAAAGTGTGAATTTTATGATATGTGAATTATATAATAAAAAAGAGAACAAAGGTTTAATGGGAATAAACAGACCTCAAAGGGGCACTTTTCCCTTGCCAAAGGGGTTGCAATCACCACACACCTGCGGCTTCAGAGCTGGCTTTGGATCAGGAAGGGGTTGACTCCTAGACACAGTGGCCTCATCCCTCCACACACACAGTGGGACTGAGGGGCCTGCTCTCAGACGGGCAGTGGGAGGGCAGGGCTGCCCCACTGTCTTCAGCCCACTCCAAGAAGGGAGCTGAATAAGTGAGATCCTCACCTGCTCTTGCAGGTAAAGGGAGGCTTCGGAGACCGAATTTTCCATGGCGGCCTTGCCCCGCTCCTGGCTCTCCCTCAGCTCGGACAGCTCCTTCTCGATGTCAGCCACAGTGACTCTGCAGTGCATGACAAGAGACTGCCTGGTTCTGTGGCCAGCCCAGAGACCCGGCTCACCAGCGCAGAGCCCTGGCTGTCAGGGGCGCGGGAGGATGCAGATGAGGGGTTTGCGCCACCCTCCCGTGGGCCCTGTCCTGGTAGTGGGTGGCTAGCATGCTGGCGCGAGAGGCTTCTAGGTGGTGGGACTGGGCATCGCGAAGAGAGCTCTGAGGGGCTGTAGGAAGTGGTGTCCTCCAGCCTCCAAATGGGGACAGTCTAAGGAGCTTCTTCTTGCCCTTCTAAGCCCCAGTCCTGAGCTGTTGTGGGAACCTGGGGAGTTTCTACTAGTCCCTTGAACTAGACATGGGCGACCAGAGGAGCAGACAATCCAGGTCAAAGATGGTGGTCAGTTTAGGGGCACGAGTGAGCCAACAGCCGCCATCACCTCCTCGGCTGAGAGTATGTGATGCCAGGAGACCAGCTGCACCTGGCTGGGGCACTTTACCTGAGGACACCCAGCTGCAAGCTCAGCTGGCCACTTTTCAACTCCTTCCCCGCTTCTTGCTCCCCTTCGCCCTCCATGATCCTTTGCAACCGGTCCAGCTACAAACCCCACAAAAGGGAGTGTCAGGTGGCCCCAGTTCCCGCTTCCCCTATTCCCTAATCCTAACCCAACCCCCTCTGACAAGAGCCGAGGTCCTCGCGGACACCGAGCCATCCGTCCATGGAGGTAGAAAGCTGGCATTGAGAGAGCGACTGGAGGTCTATCAGCCCCTTGCAATGACCTCGGGCTCCCAAAAGCCCCATAAACGGGGCTCGAAGGCTGCCACGTGCAGTGAAAAGAGCAAAGGCCTTGTTTGGCTCAGCTGAATTCTGACAGCTTTGAGCATCACTTTTTAGATCCAGAAAATGAACACCATGATATCTGAGGTGCATTTCCCGACAGGATGGCAAGATCCAGTGACATAATAATGTGCGGGAAAGGACAGTCTAACCCATCAAGATACAATGGCAAGTGCTACTGTCAGCATTAAACGCCAAAGTAGGTCGACCCTGCCTTTCTTACTTTTGCTTTTTCCTGCCGAACTTCTTTGGTCAAAGTCTTTAATGTCTTCAGCTGTTCTTGCAGGTCAGGTGGTATGGTCTTTTTGACTATGGAAAATGGAGGTCTTGTTATCTGAGAGGTTAGATTTCCATTTCTAGCCCCCATAACAATGAAGATTCCCCAGAGAACAACAAGACATATCACTTTATCCTGCTTCTCCTGGAGACTGGGGAGAGGGGTTGGAAAGAGGAAGACAGAACTGTCCTTAACCCATAAGAAAATCCACCTAATGCTTGACATCCTAAAAGGCTTTGGGACAATGGACTTGCCATTTCCATTCACCTCTAAAATCTTTTATTTATTTATTTTTATTTTTTTGTCAGACAGGGTCTCACTGTGTCGCCAAGGCTAGAGTGCAGTGACGTGATCACAGCTCACTGCAACCTCAAACTCCTGGACTCAAGTGATCTTCCTGCCTCAGCCTCCTGAGTAGTTGGGACTACAGCCTACACCACCACGCCCAGCTAATTTTTCTATTTTTTTGTAGAGATGGGGTCTCACCATTTCCCTGGCTGGTCTCAAGTGATCCTCCCCTGTCAGCCTCCCAAAGTGCTGGGATTACTGGTGTGAGCCACTGTACCCAGCTACAATCTTAATTATTCTCTGGGCCTAGAGTTGTGAAGGGGCAAATATTAAGTTTAATTCTTCAATGTTCTCTCGCCCCGTCCACCTGCCAATGCTTTCCCTCAGCCCAACACTTTCCCAGCTGCTGTCCAGAGGCTGACACAGCCATAAGAACCTGCTTCATTCCTCCTTGGAGGCTCCTTCTGTCCTACTGGTTTCATTCTACCCTTTGCCTACCTAGTTGTTTGGCCCCTGAAGGCTATGGGAGAACCTGGAATGACTACAAATGAAAATGTTGTTTTCAGGGGCTCAGGAAGAGGTCCAGCAGCCAGGAGTTCAGGCCAAGGGGAGGAAAGGATGAAATCAACTCAAAACTAAGACAATGGTCTCCCTTCCATGGGCAAGCAGTACTCACCCATGAGCGCCAGCAGGTACTGTATCTTCTCCAGATCAGTTTGGCCAGCTTGCTCCTCATTCAGATCCTTCATATTCTCCTTCAGCTCCACATAGAGGCCGACGAGCTCTCCCATCAGACGAAATGTTTCCATCGCTATGGGGAAACTGGGAGCCAATTTATCTAGGGAATCGCGTCGATCACTCTGGGCCTCACACCAGGTCTCACTCCCTTCTGATGAGACTCGGGTGAGGGAGTCTGAATGCCTGAAAAAGGTGACATCTTGGCCTGGGGCAGTCTGGGTAGGAACTCCAAGTTGGTGTGAGGCATCCATTGGATCCAAACGTACCTGGCCATGCTGATCTGCACTTGTGTCTACCCGGCGAGGCTGACCTGGGCCAGGTGGTATCAAATGTTGTTGATCTGGGTGTACAGATCCCAAACCTGTGCTTAATGGTGTGGGGCCATGCTGGTCTGTGCCACGATGCAACAAATCTTGCTGATAAGTTTCTGGTGGTACCAAACCCCTTTGGTCTTTACCTGGTGATGCCAAACCTTCACTGGCTAGTAGTGGTGACACCTGGTCATGTTGTTCTCTGCCAGGAGGTACCGCACCATGCTGATATGGGTGTGGTGACCAAGAACTCTGAGAATCTGCGTGGAATGTTGGAAAGCCACGAAGCTCTGTGCCTGGTGCTATCAAGCCTTGCTGATCCGCCCCAGGTTGTCTCAAATCACGCTGATCCATTCCAGGCTGCACCAAACCACGTGGATATGCACCAGGTTGAACCAAACCACGAGGATAGACACCAGATTGAAACAAACCACGTGAATCTGCACCAGGTTTCACTAAACCATGCTGATCTGCACCAGGTTGTACCAAACCAGGAGGATATGCACCAGGTTGAACCAAGCCGGGCATATAGATACCAGGTTGCACCAAACCCTGCTGATCCATTCCAGGTTGCACCAAACCCTGCTGATCCATTCCAGGTTGGACCAAACCCTGCTGATCCATTCCAGGTTGCACCAAACCACGCTGATCCATTCCACGTTGGACCAAACCACGCTGATATGCACCAGGTTGCACTAAACCACGCTGAACCATTCCAGGTTGGACCAAACCACGCCGATCCATTCCAGGTTGTGCCAAAGCACACTGGTCTGCACCAGGTTGTACCAAACCATGCTGATCCATTCCAGGTTGGGCCAAACCTCGCTGGTCTGTACCAGGTTGTGCCAAACCAGACTGATCCATTCCAGGTTGGAGCAAACCATGCTGATCGGCACCAGGTTGCACCAAACCTGGTTGAACTGCACCACGTTGTTCCAGACCATGCTGATCTGCACCAGGCTGGACCAAACCATGCTGATCCATTCCAGATTGGGCCAAACCATGCTGATCTATACCAGGTTGCACCACTTCAAACTGATATGCACCAGGCTGGACCAAAGTGTGCTGATCTGTACCAGGTTGTGCCAAACTAGGTTGATATGCACCAGGTTGGACCAAGCCAGGCTGACCTGCACCAGGAGTTACCAAGCCAGGCTGACCTACACCAGGAGGTACCAAACCAGGTTGACGTGCACCAGGAGGTACCAAGCCAGGCTGACCTGCACCAGGAGGTACCAAGCCAGGCTGACCTGCACCAGGAGGTACCAAGCCAGTCTGACCTGCACCAGGAGGTACCAAGCCCGGCTGACCTGCACCAGGAGTTACCAAACCCGGCTGACCTGCACCAGGAGTTACCAAGCCAGGTTGACCTGCACCAGGAGGTACCAAGCCAGGCTGACCTGCACCAGGAGGTACCAAGCCAGGCTGAC